TAATGTGAATATTGAGCCCGGGCAATCAAAGAAATACATCATGCCACATGACAGACGTCACTGATTTTTCTGGTCAAGCTCTCACAGATGATGTCACCTCCCTCCACACACCACTGCAATACTTCCAAAAGTTTTTGTCAGAAGATTTGGTTCAAGCTCTGGCAACAAATACGAATGAGTATAGCATTCAAAATGATGAAAGATCAGTCAACACTAATACAAAAGAAATACAGGCAGCATTGGGCATGTACCTGAGGATGGAACATTACATTTTGTAAACAATTTAACCGTGCCAGAGACTGAAAAGAGGGACAAACTCTGGAAACTCAGACCACGGCTTGATTCACTCAGAGAAAACTGCCTGCAGGTGGTACCAGGAGCACATTCCATGGACAAGATGATGATACCCTTCAACGGGAAGTTCAGCAGCATCAAGAAGTATATGCAAGGTAATCTATGCTCATGGGGCTTTAAAGTATGGGTGAAAGCTGGAATCTCTAGCATGATGCTTGACTTTGATGTTTACCAAGGGAGCAACAATGATGTACGAGTCAAATCTAAACTTGGATTGTCAGGTGATGTTGTAATGAAGCTTGCCTCCACATTTCCAAAGGGTCACACAAGAAGATCTAGGCAGACAACTACTTCACCTCCGTACCACTGGTAGTGAAGCTCCTTGAGCAAGGAATCATTATGTGGGAACAGCCAGGCAAGTGCATCTCCCCAACTGTAATCTTTACATGTGAAGAGCTTGAAGAAGAAGGGCAGAGGAAGCTTTGACCACAGAGTGGAGGGGAACAACATCTGTGCTGTCAAATGGTACGACAACAGGGGTTGACACTTCGCTGGACCAGAACCTGTTCAGGAGATTCAACACTGGACAAAGCCACCAAAACCTACATTGACGTTAGAAAGGCTTCCATTGTGGGCATCTACAATAAATACATGGGAGGTGTGGATTTGTGGACTCATTTACAGCAAAACACAAGTATGCACTGAAATCCTGGCGGTGGTACATGTACATCTTCTGGCACACAACCACCCTTGCTGTGGTCAACGCCTGGCTCCTCTACAAGCAGCACAGCCTATGCTCTCAGGATGCCAAAGGAGATACTGAATATGAGAAAGTTCCAAGCACAGCTGGCTTCCTCTCATTACGGTAATGAATATTTGTGCTATTTACCTTGTTTGTGATAAATCAGACTGGAATTTGAGATGTACATAAATTGATACATTATATTCTAATCTGGCGGACACAACACTGAAAACGCCAAAGAGAGGACGGCCATCTTCAATCAACAAGAGCCCAGAGACAGGAGCACTCTGAATAGTGGAAAGAGAGCACACATGGATGATGGAAGTCCAAAGGCTCCCTCTTCTAAAAAGTCACGCAAACCACCGCCCATGGATGCGCGCATGGACCAAACTGGACGTTTCCCCTGAAGACAAAGAGGACACTGCAGACATTGCAGTAAAGGGTGCACCAATACAATGCAGTAAGTGTGATGTCCGCCTCTGTTTTCAGAGGACAGGAACTGTTTCTGGGATTACCACTATAAGTAAAGGTGGACTTCACACTGAGCACATAGATTTCAGTGGAGAGCGAGAGAACACTGCAGACATTGCACTGTTAACAATGTAATAAATAAAGATCTTATTTATTGGAATAAACAACTCTTCATAATAACATGACTGAGATTATTCATTTATACACTGGTTTGGTAAAACAAAAACACTGCAATTAATCCTTAATTATGCAGCTTGATGGGCACCTCTTCGGACCTGACGTGCTGCCCAGCTACGCAAACGCAGCTACGTGGATGTACTCTCTTGTAATTGGCCAGAGTGATCACAAGTCTCCGGATGTTTTGGTCTCGTTGCTGAATGAGTGCATGAAGCGGTGGAAAAACCCCTGTGCTGCCAGCTTCTCCAAGCCCCGTGCTCCCTCTTTGCAAATCATGAGAACGACGACAACTGGCTGAGGAAGAGCTGCAACGGGTGAACGAAAGGCAGAAAGCAACGGAGGAGTGCCTGCTCAGATGCATTCCGTT